CCTGCCACCATCCGATCCCTCCTTCCCCCCCCCCTCTCTCTTCAAACCCTCCTGTTTCATACCCCCTCCCTCTCCAGCCATCCCTGCTTCTCTACCCCAGCCCCCTCCCCCAGCCCCCCCCCCCCCCACACATATATTCATCTCGCTATCCCCCTTGTATCCTTCCCTCCACCCCTCCAGTCTCGGCTCGAGGGCTCCTGACCCAGTGCGCAGCCGCGACGCGAAGCCCCCAGCGCAACCATTCAGCAGTTTTCTCCACGCATGGCGAAACTGGACACACCGCATCCCGCGGTGCGACTGATTCGCTTCATCTCCATGTTCCCGCACGCGCCGCACTGGTTTGTGAGAGCCCTCGCCGTGCGCTGCATGTGCCTATGCAGCCCGAGCCACTAGGCAAGGGCAAGCAGGCCTCCTGTCCAGAGGGCCGTCTCGTGTGACAAGAGGCCTGCGCCGCCGCTCTCTCAAGCAGCGGCGGCGCAGACCGGACTGCTGCAGCCTACAACGAGCTTGTCCATCAGCACCCACCAGAACTCGAAACCATTTGCTAGCAACGCCGTTCCAACCAACCTCGGCTCAGGAGCGAGCTGATGAAACTGCGCGCTGAGGGCATCAACCGTGACCCACCAAGGTTCACGGCCCCCGCCGCTATCCACCAGGATAACTGCACAGCCCCTACTATCGGCCTCGTGGAACCCAACTGGGACGTCCAGATCGCGATTACCAAGAGGGCCGACCACGGGATCACACACACACACACACTAGACACCCCGCCAAGCGTCAAAAAGCCACCAGGCTACGACGAAGACCAGGACGAAGAATGGTAAGAACGGTTAGACTTGTTCGCCCAACCAGGCGACCGAAGGATCTCCGATGAGACCGACGCGCCGTTCCGCAGCCTCGAAGCGGAGCAACAGAGGCTCGCGGACATAGCCTCGAAGCGGAGCAACTGTCCATTGAAACAACGGTGACCAGCGCGGCCACCAGCCAGGCCACGCTGGCCCCCCTAGCAATGCCACCAACCCGAAAAAAAGGATCGCATCCGTCCGTGCTCGGGAGCGCCTCAAAGCTGTCCTCCAGGCCCGCGGCAAACACGACCTGCACGAGCCGCGCCCCCTGCCAACCGCCGCGCACGGCCTGCGAATGCCTCCGCGTGCCGTCCGCCCGCCGCCGCGCGACGCTGCCGCCGACGCGCCATCGGGCAGCTGTCAAGGCTGCAACTTCAGGGAGGCGCCTCCTCTAGGGCTCCCAACTTCGCGCTTCGCGCTCCGCGAAGCGCGAATAACTTCGCGCCCTCGCGCCGCCCCCCCAAAGGGAGAAAAGGAGGACGAGGAGGAGGGGGGAGAAAGAACGAGGACCGCGAAGCGCGAAGCGCGAAGCGCGAATAACTTCGCGCCCTCGTGGGAGCCCTTGCATCCCCGGAGGCAGCTGAACGCCTGGCCGTGCGCATTCTCAGAGTCAGCGCTGGGCAACACGTCCGCGTCGTCGGCGCCCCCGCCTGCCTGGGACTCGGCGTTCGCAATGGCATGGGCGATATAGCTCCTCGTCAAGTAGACGATGAGCAGGGCGCCATCTGCTGTGCTCCACCCCGGCTGGTTGGGCCCGAACACCTGCGCCAATTTGGGGGCGAGCTCATCATGCAAACGCCCTCGGCGAACTCCACGAGCATCTCGGCGCGCGCGATGGGCCGGAGCTTGCGACGCCGCGGCCTGCCAGCCCTGGCGGCGCCAGGCCAGAGTCCACTGGCGCAGTGCAGGCCGCGATCCACAGACGCACTTTGCACTCAAACGACTTGCCCTGCTTCCACATGCGCGCCCGATGGGCGCGGGACTGCTCTCCACCGCTCCGAGCGCCGACGTCCTTCAGGCAGCTGCTCCGCCAGCCGCCGTAGGCCCACATTGGGCAGCATCCCGGAGTGCGCGAAGCATGCGCCGCATGGTGCGGAACTTGGGCGCCGCTGCTTTGCTGGCCCCCATCGAGCGCGAGCTTGCACGCGCGCTGGATGGCGCCCCGCGCGTCCTCGTCGACCTCAGCGGCGACGAGTTCGTCGACGTGGGCCGCCGTCGACTTGCCCAGCGGCGCCCGAACAGCACCTGAAAGCAACGCCTTCGCAACGCGGATTGCCCCGTGGCCCTGTTTTTCAGCCGCCCAGCAGAAAGCGCCCTCGCCAGACATCGGCTGCCCCGGGAGGTCGACGTCGCGCGCGGTCGCCGCGCCCGCGCTCTCCTCGGCTGCCGCCCGGCTAAGACAGAATTCCTGCAGTCGCCGAGCTCTGCGAACCGGAGGCGCCCATTGACCGTCGCGGCGCACGAAAAGTCCCTCGCGTCAGCCGAAGGCTGGGCCCAGGCGCCCAGCACCTCGGCGCGCACCTGGGAGCGATGCTGGAGCACGCAGCCCGACGCCAACCACGGCAGCTGAGATGCGCGAGCGGCCGGCAAGACATTGCCGGCGCTGGCGCGCCGCGCAACAGCGGTCTCGGCGCCCGCGCGGGGGTTGGGGAGGTCGCGGAGGATAGTGCTCGCCCTCTGGCGTAGCCGGCGCGGCGCAGCGCGGGCTGCGCCGCGGCCTCCTCCGGGAGGGCGCCGACGCCCGCCGCGCCGCGCAAACCCGCCTCGGCAGCTGCGGGGTGGGAAACGGCAACCAAAGAAATTCCAGCACCTTCACTTCCGCCGGCTCCATCCTCCACCTCCAGCGCCACTCTCTCCCCCACCTTCATTGGCCCGGTCCCGGGGCGAGTGCGCGCCGCGCGAATGCGCATCCAGAGCGGGCGTCCGGCACGCGGCGCAGCGGAATCGCGCGTGACAAGACGAGCATCTGTAGCCCCACTTGTCCTGGACTAGCACGGAGTGACAAGCCGCGCGCACCTCGCCGCCCCGCGCGCGCCATGTCCTCGCTGGGCCCCGCCGGTCGGGGAGCGGCATTCCCGTCGGTGCCGCCCTCAGCGATGACTTCGGCGATGGCGGCGATGGCCTCCTGGACGTTCTGGTCGGCGTCGGCGCCCTGATGTCCAGCCGCCCCCGCGGCGGCGCCGGCCACGCCAGCAAGCAGGGCCTCCTCCTCCACCCTCCGCCTCCTCCTGCACCTCTGGGCGCCCCTAGAACGCGCGGGGCTCTCCGACACGCGTACCTCTCGTCGCTGCGCAGCGACTCGGCGGGCGCTTCCCCCCCTGCGGCGCCGCGGCCAAGGCGATGACGTGCGCCGCAGCGGTAGCGCACGCCCTGCAGACATCAGCAACGCATGGCGCATGCGGCAACGCCCGTTCTCCTCTGCCCCAGCCTGCTACGCAACTGTCGCACTGGCTACCCGGGCCTGGCCGCGCCTGCACTGGGGCGCCGCGGCAGCCGGGGCACGCGGGCAGCCTTACCTGGCCAGGCGATGCCAGCGCAACGGCATGAGCATCAGCAGCCACCGCAATGCCCCCCTCCTCGTTCTACTCCTCCTCCTCCTCCTCCGCCGCCGCCGCTGCCGCCTCATCAACAACCTCTGCCCCTACATGGCCACCAGCTTCCTCCTGCAGGTGGCCAGGACAAGGGGCTGGCACCGTTGCCGCCAACTCTTGCCCCCACAGCGTGGCCGATGGGCTGCAGCTTCCGCGTACTCCTGCCTCCGACTCCTTCTCTCCTCCGTGCCGCTGCTTCACCAGCTGCTCGAGATGCCAGGCGCGCTCCTCCATGCAGCAGTGGAGCTCCTGCAACTCGGGCATGCGCAGCGGAGGCATCGCCGGCGCGACCTGAGGGCGGCCCTGCTAGGACCGCAGTTCTTCTCTGCCGGACGGCGGCAGCTACGCGGCAGTCTGGCCGCCCCCGCCGTCTGCTCTGGCACCTCCGTCTCCTGCAGCCGCTCTTGCGGCGTGCCGCGGGCTCATAGGCGCAGCGCGGCCCCCGGCCGCGCCTGGCACCACTGCACAAACCAAACCCGAATTGCAGCAAGCTCCACCGCAAGCTCGAGAGCGGCCGACTGCAAGCCGGGCCAAGTGCTGCTGCGCGGCCGCGAGCTCTGGGCGGCGCCGCGCCCGTGTCCAGTGCCCCAGGACGCCGAGGAGGGGCGCAGCAGCAGGCGGCCGCAGCGGCGGCGGACCAAATGATGCAGGCGGCGGCGGCGGCAAGAGCGAGGCCCACCGGGAAGCGTGAGAGGCAGACATGTCCGCTGCCTCCAGCGCCGGGCGGGGCGTGCTCGACCGCCACCTCGATCCAGTGGGCCGCTGCAGACGCTGCAGAAGCTGCAGCTGGGGCGGCCGCCGCACCAGCAGCGCCGACCTCCGCGGCCGCATCGCGCACCTGGGGGGTCGCGGGCAGCTTGCAACGCCCACACCGCCCACGGACCAGCGCCAGCCGCGCCAGCCAAGGCGACCCAGGCAGGTCCCGACCAGGGCGAAACGAGCGAGGGCCATGCAGATCGGTCCGCGAGCGCAGGAACTGGAAATGCCTCAGTTCACCCGCCCTCGCGAACCCCCACGAGCCCCTCGACCCTCGACCCCGTCCTGCTTCTTGAGCCAAATCGGCTACGGCCGGTCCAGCTCCTGCTCCCAGTCCCCTCCACCTCGGGAAGGTTGCAGCACCGCTCAACGACGCTGCGCTGTCAACCAAACCTACAGGCTGGGCCCTATACACTTTCTCTAGGGCTCCCAACTTCGCGCTTCGCGCTGCGCGAAGCGCGAAGCGCGAATAACTTCGCGCTCTCGCGCCGCCCTCCCAAAGGGAGAGTAGGAGGACGAGGAGGAGGGGGAGAAGGAACGAGGACCGCGAAGCGCGAAGCGCGAATAACTTCGCGCCCTCGTGGGAGCCCTTGTTTCTGCACACGCCAACTGTGGGGTCTCGGCTTCCGCTGTGGGTGTGCACTGCGAATCGCCTTCGGGGGCTCGCCCGGGTCTGCTTTTCCGCTCACCTTGGTGCCTCCTTGCCCTCCCCCCTCCGCCTCCGCCGGCCCCTCCCCTCCCCCCCCCCCCCCGAGCGCGTGCAAACCGACCCGTGAGGCACCGGCCGCGATCGGCGGCGGCCGCTGGCCTCCGTTCCCAGAGGGGGCTCCCCGAGGGGTGCCGGGGCGGGCGCTGCCTTACGCCTGGGCAGGGTGGAGGGGGGAGGGGAGGGGAGAGAAGGGGGGAGGAGGCCTCCTTCTCCTCCTCCTCCTCCTCCTCCTCCTCCAACTCGTCCTCCTCCTCCTCCTCCTCATCCATCTCTTCCTCCTCAATCTCATTTCAACCCTCCTCCGCAACCGACGACGACACAACTCATGACGACAATGCCAACAAAACTGACGAGCGACGAGGACTGAAGACGACATCAACGACGAAGGGCCTTAAAAAAGACGACGACGAAAACCACGACGACTCCGAAACTGACGAACACAAGGACGACGGCGACCACCACGACGACGACGATGATGATGACGCTACTGACGACATTGACGACGACTATGATGATGACGACGACGACGACGTCGACGAACGCAGACGACGACGACGACGACGACGACGACGACGACGACGACGACGACGACGACGACGACGACGACTGCTTCGAATATTGACGACAAAGGTTGACGACGACGCCCACGACGGCAGCGACGACGACGACGACTAGCAACGAGAACCACAACAACGACACCGACGACGACAACCCCAACCGCAATCACGACGATCGACGACGACAGCAACGACGAAGACGGCGCTAACGGACGACAACAAACGGCGGCGACGACGACAACGACGACGATGACTGCAGTGAATGACGACGAAGGCGACGACAACGAATGACGACGACAAACAAAGACGACGAAGACGACCACGACGGCGACGGTGACGACGACGACGACGACACATGACGACGACAACGAACGACATCCACGACGCCGACGACAACAACGACAGACGACCCAGGCGACGACGACAACGACGAACGCCGACCACGACGACGACCACGACACGACCACGATGACGACCACGACGACGACAACGACCACGACCACGACGACGTCATCGTCGTCGTTCACGACGACGTCGTCGTCGTCGTCGTCGAGGAGCGCCTCGGCGCCAGCAGCGCCGGGGACGGCGCGGCCTCCGCGCCGAGGGCCCTGCAGAGTGCCCGGGAGAGGCTCTGCGGGCCCGCGCCGAGGCAGCCCTTGGCCTCGGGGCGACGAAGCGTCTTTCTGTGACCATCGACGTCGTTGTCGTCGCCGTTGTCGCCGTCGTCGTCGTCGTCGAAATCGCCGTCGCCGTCGTCGCCGTCGTCGCCGTCGTCGTCGTCGTCGTCGTCGTCGTCGTCGTCGTCGTCGTCATCGTCGTCTGTGGGGCGGGCGACAGCGACTCCCAGGGGAGGGGAACGTCGGTCTTCACCGTCCTCCCCCGAGGAGGCCGAGGGGAAAAGGAGAGGCCGGGGGCAAAAGGGGAGAGAAGCGACCAGGGGCTGGCGGAGGAGCTCGGAGCCGCTGGCGCGCGGAGAAGGGCGGAGAGGGGGGGAAAGCAATCCTCCTCCTCCTCCTCCTCCTCCTCCTCCTCCTCCTCCTCCTCTCCTCCTCCTCCTCCTCCTCCTCCTCCTCCTCGAGGAGGCGAAGGGAGAAAGGGAGGGGGGGGCGGGGAACAGGCGGGAAGGAGGGTTGGGAGCGGGAAGCCACATCACGGCTCCAGAGGGCCGAGCGGCTGCGACGTCCGCGGGCCCTTCTCCACCAGAAGCTGCTGCTGCTGCTGCTGCGGTTTCTCCTCCTCCTCCTCCTCCTCCTCCTCAAGCGCCTCTTTATCGCTGCTATCCACCTCCTCCTCAACCCTGCTTCTATCTTCGTCATCCTCCTCCGCCACCTCCAGCGTCCTCCTCCTCCTCCTCCTCCTCCTCCTCCAAATCATCCTCCTCCTCCTCCTCCTCCTCCTTCTCCTTCTCCTCGTTTTCGTCGTCAGACCGCCATTTTCCCCCATCATCTCCCGCCTTTTTCGTCTCCGCCCGTCCTCATCCGTCGTCGTTCATCTATCCCTCCTCCCCCTTCCATCATCATGCTCCTCCTGGCCCCCCCTCCTTTGACGACGGCGGCGGCGAAAACGACGGTGCCGTTGAGAGAGAAGCTTCTTGCGGCCGATTCTGACTGCAGTTTCAAACAGAATCTGGACGTGGCGGCGAGGGCGTTCCAGGAAGCCCATAAAAAATCTCAAGGCGTCCGACCGCCTCGGACTTCGCTCAAGGACGGCGGCGGCCGCGATGAGGCCGACGACGACGACGACGACGACGACGACGACGACGACGACGACGACGACGACGACGACGACCGCCTCCAGGGGTATTCGGACGTCCCTACACATCCCTGGAGGTCCGCGGGGGCCTCCCGAGGCCCAGAAAAGGCTCCGGAATATCAAGCGCCTGCTGGAGATTCGAACCATCGAGCCTCGACTCCATGGACTTCTACAGCGACTCCGATATCGAAAACTGGCCGAACCGATAACCAAACCAAAACCGACCGAGACTGAGGGACTGGAAGCGGCCCCAAAAGGACGCAGCGGCGCGGCAACCGGTCAATCCGAACCGACCGAAGGCAGCCAGCTGCGAGACAGCCGAACCGACCGAAACGCAGAAACCCTCGGGAAACGATGGGCGACGACAACCACGACGACGACGAGCACCACCACAACGACGACGACGACGACGAAGGCCGCACCGCACGGGGTCGCCCACGCGCCGCGCCGATGCTCTAACCGTCGAACCTCTGCGGAGTCGATCACGTCGACGACGGCGACGGCGACGATGACGACGAACACGATGACAACGGCCGCTGCGCACGGAGCGAAGGAAACGACACAGATGTTACATCGGATCGACTCCGAGAAGTATGTTTCCAGCAATCCTCGTCGCGCAACCCACGTGGTGCACCATACGTTGTGCAGTAACTGATATGCTATATATATATGTCTGTAGATGTATACACATATAAACATATACATATATATACATATATACATATACATAGATATAGATATATACATGTTGCCACAACATGACACGACCTTGTGGTCTTCCACAAACGGACCTGATTGGAACCCTCGACAAAAGGAATCCTTTTGCAGCCCTCCACAAACAACAATCATATTGAACTCCTCCGCAAAAAGGAATCCTTTTTGTGATCTACCTCGTAGGATGGATTCCTGGTGTGATCCTCGTCAAAAGCCATCCTTTCGCAACCCCCTACAAAACGAATGTCTCGACAACCACCCAAATCAGAAATCCTTTTGTAATCTCAGGATCCATGAAACACGGTTTCTTGTTATAACGCTTTACAGGAGGATTCCTAGTGCGGAAGATTACAATGATATTGCCTATTGCGAATAAAATGCTGATTTCTTCCTGTGGCGGGGGAAAAGATGATTCCTTTTGCCGAGGATCACACCTATGTTCCCTGTTGTTGACGATTATGCCTGGAATATGTTTGCGCAGTGTTGCAATGCTACGCTTCTCTCCTGACGGATTACAAACGGATTCCTTTGAGAGGGGGTCAAGCCAGGAATCCTTTTGTTGAGAAACACTAGAAGTGTCCTGTTGTAGAGGATTCAAATAAGAATCCGCATGTGGCGGGCTAGAGAATAGGATTCCTTGTTGCGGCAGGCGAACATAGGATTTAGTTTGCGGGGGATTGGAAAGGATTCATTTCTTGTGGAAGATTCTAAAATAATCCCTTGCGCGGCGTGGAAGATAACAATCAACATTCCTTTTGATCAAGGTCACTTCAGGATTATTTTCCATTCCGTGGAGGATTGCACTTGGGTTACTCTGCATGCGAGTTGCAAATGCATAAGGACCGAGCCAACTTCTGGGCGCCCCGAGCACGATTCGCCGACCGCATCAGTTTCGATCAGCTTCTGTATTGTCTCAGCTCGAATAGGAGTCCTTATTGAGTTCACCTCGCATGGAGTCCTACTGAGTCCGAGTTCGCGCGCAACCAGCGCACTAAGCGATTGCCCCGCAGCACCTTGGACGGTCGCGGCGCGCTTCAAGGAGCCGCCACGGGCATGGATGAAGAGGCCTGGCGGATCCTGTTCCACGCAGACCGCGGCAATGAGCTCCTGCCACAACACGCGCGCGTGCTGCGCCCGAAGCAGGAGCCAAGCTCTGCCAGCTCTGCCAAGGCGCTCCCGTATCATATCCACAATGCGCCTCCTCTTCCCCAGGCTGCGGGGGCGGGCGCGCCGATCCCGAAGCAGGAACCAGGCTTTGTCACTTCTGCCAAGGCGGTGCCCACACTGCCCACAATGCGGCCGCCTCTGCGAAGGCAGAGGCTGGCCCAGGCGCAGAGGCGCAAATGATTCGGCGCCAGGCTCTGCCAGCCCACCAATGTCCATGGCGCCTGGGGCCGCGTCCGAACAACCGCCGCTTGAGTCGCCAATTCAGCCGGGAGGTGGCGAGGCGGAGGCGGCGCTAGAGGAAAAGCTGGCAATGGATTGGGATGGTGACGAGGATTCTAGCGGGTGCGCTGCTGCCGCTGGTGTGCTTGCAGAGTTGGCGCTCCCTGCGCCGAGGGCCTGGAGGCGCAGCGTGAACGGTCGGCGGACATGGCCTCCGGTTGGCTCGCGCTGTCCACGGCGCCGGCCGCCGACGTTCCTTGGTGCACAAGGATCACGCAAGGGCAAGCAATGGCAGAGAGTCTGCAAGCGGCCGAGGCTTGCACCATGCAAATGCCTGGGTTTCTGTATGTCCGCTATCGTTCCGTGGGCATCCCCGCTGGCGTGCTAGCGATGCTTGCGCGCATGCGATCCGACGTGCACTTGCAACACAAAGAAGCAAACAACAATGGGAGTGGTACCCGGCAATGGCCTCATGCCCTTCGGCCGCACGGGAGGGCGCATGCCAGGCCCTGCCAGCACGACGGCCGTGGCCCTGCCGCCGCAGACCTTCCACCAGCAGGCAAGCCGCAAGTCTCTGGAGAAGCTGAAGTCGGATCCTTCGGGCGGCGCTCTGGACAGGCGACCCTGACTGCGAGCTAAATACAAGAAATTGCTGCCGGACATTGTGACCAAAAGATACTCGTGGAGAACCGGACTACATACCAACAGCGCTCCCCTGTGATCACACAGCTGATGTCGCTGCACGAAAGGCGAAGTTGTCGAGTTGGACCACAAGCGCACAAGGTTGAAAACCATGCTCAAAGGACCAGGCCCTGCCACTGCTCATGAGTGGGGAATGCGCGCTGGAATTGTTTAATGCCGGGGCCGCGCCCTCGCACAAGGACTTGATTGAGACACTCTCCAAGGCAGCTGCGGGGGCGACCAGCCGTGGCGCCACGCGACCAGGGTGTTGGCGACGCCGCTCGCCCGGCCGACGCCGCGCAGGACGGTGCTGCGGAGAATCTATGGGGCGATGTTTTTGTTACTCCTAGTGTCTTGATCGCGCCGTCCCTCATGTCTGGAGCGCGCCAGGTGGGTGACAAACAGCAGCGCTCATCGCGATAAGCATCATCATCACGCGTCGTCGCCAACCCGAGGTCGCATCACTGGCATCGTCCTCGTCACAACCACCAAGATTGCCATCAGTTGGTTCCTTTTCCCCCCACCTGGTTATCACCAGAAGGGTGGTCGTAGAGGTACGTGGTGCAGTATATGTCGTGCGCTCTATGTGGTGCAATACATGTAGTGCAATCTATGTGGTGCGATCTTTGCGGTGCACTATATGTTGTGCAAGCTAGGTGGTGCAATCTATGTGGTACAATGAATATCTGTTCGCAGTGAGTTGTCCACTCCACTGCTCGCGCAAACATCCAACCCACCCACCCGCAACTTGGCTTGCAAAATCTCTTAAGACCGTGACGGTGGGTACCAAATGGCACTTGGCAACGACAGCGACGCCGACAACGACAGCGACAACGACGACGACGACGCCGCCGACAACGACTACGACGACACCGACGACGTCTCCAACGACTTCGACGACGCCGACAACGACGACGACGACGACGACGACGACGACCGACGACGACGACGACGCCGACGCCGACGACGACGACGATGACAACGACGACGACGATGACGACGCCGACGACGACGACAACGACGACACCGACGACGACGACGACGTCAACGACGCCGACGCCGACGACGACGACGACGACAGCGGCGACGACGACGACGCCGACGTCGACGACGACGACGAAGACGACGACGCCGACGACGAAGACGACGACGTCGTCGCCAACGAAGACGAGGACGAGGGAGGAGGGAGCACGACGACGGCGACAACGACGACAACGACGACAACGACGAGGGAGGAGGGAGGACGGCGACGACGCGAACGACGAAGAAGAAGGAAGGACGGCGACGCCGACGACGACAACGACGAGGGAGGAGGGAAGACGACGACGACGACGACGACGACGACAATGACGACGACGACGACGACGGCGACGAAATAGGAGGGACGACGATGAGACGCCGTCCACGGACGACGACGACGACGAGGGAGGAGGAGGAAGGATGATCACGGCGACAACGACGACGGAAACGACCACGACGCCAAAGAGAACGACGACGACGAACACAAGGAAAGAATCGTCGTCGTCGCTACGGCCGCCGCCGCCGTCGTCGTTCCCCTTCAGGGTCGGCGGCTCCGGCCGTAAGGCCTTCGCAATAGAAGGGACGACGACGAGACGCCGTCCACGGACGACGACGAGGGAGGAGGAGGAAGGATGATCACGGCGACAACGACGACGGAAACGACCACGACGCCAAAGAGGACGACGACGACGAACACAAGGAAAGACAGAGGACGACGTAGGCGACGACGACGACGACGCGGGAGGAGGGAGGAATGCGACGACGACGACGACGACGACGCAAGAGCGCGCGCGCACGCTTTGGCTGAGAATCCGTGTTGCGAAACCTTGTGTTGTTGTAGGTTTTTTGGACACACGATGTTGAAATCCTTCCGAAGCCGATGGGTTTTGAAGGATATCGGCATACGCGCGCGACGACGCGCGCGTCTGCACTTCGTCCAATTTTTTGCAGAGGATTCTCGTGACGGCACACGCGCAAGGGCGTTCGACAGATTTCGACATGCGCGCGCGCGAAGCCCGTTTGGTAGCATTTTGTGAAAGTCTTGAAAAACCTATGGTTTTCTTAAGATTTCGCAAGAGCTCGCGCGTAAGCTTTTTTAGCAAATCAGTGTTACGAAATCCTGTGTTTTTGTATGTGTTTTGGAAACTCGATTGCGAAATCCTTCCGACACCCAAAGTTTTTGGAGGATTTCGGCATGCGCGCGCGACGTAGCACGCGTGTGCACTTCGTCCCATTGTTTGCAAGGGATTCGTGAACACAAGTCTTATGTTAGAACAAAAGGTGTCCCCGCGTACCGTTTTTTACAGAAAGGAACCTCAGGGGGGTCGATACCGGTTCCCCTGGGATAATGTAACTTCATATTTCGGATGGGCATGTGGTCAGAATCCTACATGATTCACATACCCGAAGGGGGGGCCGATAACGCCGGGAGGGGGGGGTAGAGTCTATTCTCTTTTAAGAAAGGGGAATCTATGTTGTGCATTCTTGGGCGGCGACGGGGCGGCGACGGCGGCCACGTGGCCGCCAGACCGACACGAAGGCCGAGAGCCCCTAAGTGCAAACACGTTTTTTCGGGGGAGGGAAAAGCGGCCCTCGCCGCCCGCCGCCTCGGCGCAGAGCAGCCCGCACGCGGGCGCACCGCCCTGCGCCGCCAGCATCGAGGACTGCTCCATCACGTCCAGGGACTGGTCCACGTCGGGCGACTGCGGCATTCTCCTCCTCCTCCTCCTCTTCCACTGGAATTTGGGAGCCCCTCCACCACGAGGCCGCGGGCCCCCCCCCTCTCGAAAGTCGTCACTAGCTGCAGAAGAGGGGGTGCTGAGTTCATGACGATGACGAACGATGAATGGTGAACGGGGGGGCTTTGTCTGGCCACGGCGAGCCTCGGCCACGAAGAGATTCCCCCACCCAGGTCTGAAAGACGGCCCGAAAGCCCACCCTGAGCCTAGGTTGGTCCTTCTTTTAGCTTCTTGGCTAAGCGGCGGGTTCGAGGCGTCAAGGGTTCAGCGTTGGTGTCTGGCACCGCATGGATCATTCAGCCTTGCGAGATCGTGGCTTCCAGATATCGCAGATCCTTCGATATCCGTTGATTCTGTGCCACTGGCGGCGGTCAACCTTGGACCCCCGTGGTAGGTCGCCGCCACGGCGACACGACTGCGAGGCAGGGGGTTATACAGATCCAACTCCTAAGGAGCCGATCTTCAAGGAAGGCGGATATAGATCCGCCGACCTCCTCGGGGGCCAACAGGCTGCGTGGCGGAGGTGCTCCAGTTCTCTGCGACAGCAACTCCTCGTACATGAAATCAGGGTCGTGTTCCCCAAGCCACAATCCCTTTTAAATTAGCCATGCTCTCTCTTTCTGTCGCTCTCTCTCTCTCTCTCTCTCTCCCTCTCTCGCTCTATCTCTCTCTCTCTCTCGTTGTTTTTGTTTGTTTTTTGTTTTTTGTTTTTTTTTTTCTCTCTCTCTCTCTCTCTTTCCCTCCTTTCTCCCCCCTACAAGCCACACTCCTTCGTAACTTACGCCGATCTCTCGCCCCCGAGGCCACACCATCTTGTAAGTTACGACGGGCTCGCGCTCCCGGAGCACCAATCCCTTGTCATCACATTCGATTCGCACTCCGTCAGACACAATCCTTAGAAAATTGCGCCACGCTCGCACTCCCCAAGCCAAAACCCATTGAAGCTTACACCATATGCACCCTCTCGAGGCCACTCTCCTGCGTAAGCTACACAAGCCTCACACTCCCCAAACGGTACAATGCGTTACAGGCATTTCGTGGAATTGCGTGTTTAGAACATATTGTGAGAAACTCCTCTGCAAGCCATCAGGCGGAATTCGAGTTTCTCAAAATTCCGCTTGTCGCCGCGGCCGAATTTTGAGAAACTCCTCTGCGGGCCGAGAATCAAGCGGAATTGGAGCTTCCCAAAAAGGCTTCAACCAAGCAAATCTGAAAAACTCAGCGGTTTTCAATGAGAGGGGACGAGGGGACGGAATTTCGAGAAACGCCTGCATGGTCAATTTCCAGGCCGCGCAAGAGTTTCTCGAAATTGCGCCCACCCCCCAACACGCACGCACCACACACCACCGCGCACACAGGCAAACACACACACGCGCACACACACAGACACAAGAACACACACACACACACACACACGCACACACACGCACGCACGCATGCACGCACACACACACACACCCACACCGCCGCCCCCGCGGGAATTCCGAGAAACTCCCGCGTCGTCAGTTTCCAGGCCGCGCAGGAGTTTATCGAAATTTCCCCCCTTTCAACACGCACCACACGCCACAGCGCACACGCGCAAACACACACACACACAAACACACGCACACACACACATACACACAGACACACACACACACACACACACACACACACACACACACGCTGCCCCCCCCCCCCGCCCCCCCGCGGGAATGCGGAGAAACTCCTGCGTCGTCAGTTTCCAGGCCGCGCAGGAGTTTCTCGAAAGTGCGTCCCCCCCCCGAACAACACGCACCACACACCACCGCGCACACACGCACACACACACACACACACACGCACACACACATGCACACACACACACACACCGCCGCCCCCGCGGGAATTCCGAGAAACTCCCGCGTCGTCAGTTTCCAGGCCGCGCAGAGAGTTTCTCGAAATTGCGCCCCCTCCCCCTCCCACCCCTCAACACGCACCGGACACCACCGCGCACACGCGCACACGCACACACACATTCACGCACACGCACACACACACACACCCACACACACACCGCCCCCTCCGCGGGAATTCCGAGAAACTCCCTCGTCGTCAGTTCCCGTGGCCGCGCAGGAGTTTCTCGAAATTGCGCCCCCCTTCAACATGCACAACACACCACCGCACACACACACACATACACACACACACACGCACACACACACACACAAACACACACACACACACACACCGCACGCCACCTCCCAGCGCGGAGGGGGGAGGAGAATCCTAGAAACTCCTGCGTCGTTAGTTTCCCAACTACGCAGGAGTTGCTCGACATCCCGTCTCCAAGAACCACGCCAACACACAAGCACGCACACACACAGAGCGGGTGAGGTGGCGCTGCAGGCGTTTCCTGATAATGCCCCCTATGGCGCATTAGGTATTTCGAGGGCCCTGGGATATCACATTTTCGACGCGGGAATCCCCATGTGCATTTCATTTCCTGGCACGTCCCGCTGTGAGCGTCTGGCTGTGGATGCATGGGTGTGAGAGCGAATCGAATAAACGACGGGTACGACGACGATGACGGCGGCGGCCACGATGAGGGACGTGCAGCCACCCCTGGCAGCTCCCCCTGGGGGTGCTACAACTAGCGCCTCGCATGAGACATCTGTTCTGAAAACAGAGGGGCCTGGGTGGGCGAGCAAACAAATCGGCTGAAACAGTCCCGCAATCTGGGCGCGAACGGGCCCGTGCAACCACCCCTGGCGGCTCCCCCTTGCTGTGCTAGAGTCAGCACCTCGCCTGAGACCTCCTCAGCGTCCGCGAAACCAAGTGCGCATGAGTCTGAGTGAAAACAGGTAGTGTGTGTGTGTGTGCGTGTGCGAGACCTGGCCAAGACTTGCGACCTGGCACGGTCGACCGCTGCGTCGCGGCACCTTGAACCGAAGAGGCTTCACTCTCTCTCTCTCTCTCTTCCGCGCAGCCTCGGGGATCTTCTGGCCCGGGTCAATCCAGACCCGGGTCAGCAAGAAACCAAACAACTGCAATGCAAGAACAAAAAACTGCAATGCAGCTCTCCGCAAACCCGGGTCGGCCACTATGCGCGGCCGCCTCGCGGCCACGAGCGGCTCGCTAACCCGGGTCAGCCAGAGGTGCGGCGAAGCGCAGCTGCGAGAGGCCTCTGGGAAACCGCCGAGAACGTCCGCAGACCTCGAGCGACGCCCTCCGGGAGGAGGGAGCGGTGCCGGGAGGTGGGGCGAGGCGGGCGCCTCTGGCCGCGCCGACGATGCCAACAAGAGATTTGGCGATCCGCCAGTCTCCGAATCAGAACTGGTGGGACTGTCGATCGACCTCCTCCTCCTCCTCCTCCTCCTCCTCGTCCTCCCCTCCTCCTGCACCCTCGCGGGCGTGAACAAAAGCACCCAGCCAATCCAGCTCCAACACAACCTACCAAACGCCCTGGACGTGTCTACTCCCATGGGGTGATTCCGCATAACCACCTCTGCGGGTTCTCTCCGAGTTCTCCTTTTTTCCTGGACTGCCTGGTTTTGAAGGGGGGCTCAGGGATCGGGAGAGAGAAATCGCCTGCGACCTCAGAACTCGAAGACGGCGGCGAAGACATCGACGACGATGGCGGCGTGACAACGGCGACGACTCCGACGACGACGACAACGGCGACGACGGCTTCGACAACGACAACGGCGGCGGCAACGACAACGGCGGCGGCAACAGCGCCGGCGGCGGCTGCGCCGATGGCGGCGGCGAATACAACGACGACGACGACGACGACGACGACGACGACGACGACGACTTCGACCACAATAACGACGACGATACCCGCCCACTTCGCCTTCGATCGAACCCCCTTTCTGGGGAATATCTTCCTTGTCGGCCACTGAATGCGGCGCGAGGAACTCTCGAGCGAGAGCGCCGTTCCTGAGTTCGGGGACCTCTCTGGCCAGGCCATGGGCTCTCAGAATACATATCGAGAAATATCGAACGGGAACCCTTGTCGCTGTGTCTGGGCCTCCACCAAGTTCCCTGAGTTACGAGAGAGTCTCGAGTGGGAGCGCCACTCTTGAGCTCGGGGGCCTCTCTGGCAATGGCTTCGGCGAATACATCTTGAGGAAGTATCGAACGAGATCCCTTGTCGTCGTAGTTGGGCCTCCACCCATTTGGCTGAATCATGAGGATGTCTCGAGCGAGAGCGCCGTTCCTGAGTTCGGGCGCCTTCCTAGCCAGGGGCTCTTGGAGTAAATCGTGCGGAAGTATCGAGCAGGAGCCCTTGTCGTCGTGGCTGGGTTTCCGCCAACTTGATCGAATTGCGAAGACGTCTCGAGCGAGAGCGCCGTTCCTGAGTTCGGGAGCCTCTCTGGCCAGGGTGTCTCGGGGTAAATGTGAAGAAATATCGATCGGGAGCCATTGTCGTCGTAGCCAGGCCTCCAAGGGCACACTTTTACACTCAAGCCAACGCTCGCGCGGGAGCCTTGTTTTCAGAGAAAATGTAACCAGCGTCGAGGCGAGAGCGCGCGGAACCGTTTCCGGAGGTCAACAATAAGTTATTTCTTTAAACAGTCATCAAGGATGGTGACGACGACGACGACAACGACGGCGACGACGACTTCGACGACGACGACGGCGGCGACGACAGCGGCGGCTGCGGCAGCGGCGGCGACGACGACGACGTCGACGTCGACGGCGACGGCGACGATGACGACGACGACGACGACGGCGGCGACGACGGCGGCGGCTGCGGCAGCGGCGGCGATGACGACGACAACAACGACGTCGACGACGACGACGACCACGACTTCGACAACGACGTCGACGACGACGACGATGACGACGATGACGACGACGTCGACGACGACGACGGCGGCGACGGCGGCGGTGGCGATGACGTTGACGACGACGACGACGACGACGTCGTCGACGACGACGACAACGACGGCGGCGCCTCCGGCCGAGCTGGGGGCGACGGCGCGCTGTTGGGCGCCAGCGGGTTCCCCGCGGGCTCCCCGCGCCGTCCGAGGAGCGGCGACTCCTGCCGGGCTCATCGCCGCCGTCGTCGGAATCTTCGCCGCCGCTGCCACCGCCGTCGAAATCGTCGTCGTCGTCGTCGCCGCCATCGTCGCCAGCGCAGCCGTCGCCGCCGTCGAAGGCGTCGTCATCGAAGTCGTCGTGCCCGTTGTCGTCGCCGAAGGCCTTGTGGCCTTTGTCGTCGTCATCGTCGTCGTTGCCGTGCGGGAGTAAGACGGAGAATGATGAGGATCATGATAGGGAAGGGGGCAGAGGAGGAGAGGAAAGGAAGAGGGGAAGAACGGAGGAGGGCAGAGGAGGAGGACGATGGAGGATGAGGAGGACAGGAAACAGAAGAAATAGAACTCGTTCCTAACCTTCGGCTGCCAAGGGGGGCATTCCCAATCAGGGAAGGGGAGGTCGTCGGAAATCGCTCCAGGATGGAAAACAGGGCCAGGACCGGATGTCGGCCGAGGGATGCAGGCGAGGAAGGGAGGAATCGAGGGAGGAGGATCGAGCGGCGAAGCTCGAGGATCGGGGCTGGAACACGTTCCTCCTGCATGGGCATCCGGGCGGCTTCTCGTCGCCACCGCTGGATTCCCCTGCAAATTCTCCTGGAAACGCACCCCTGGACAAGTCAGGGGGTCTACGCTTGAGGGATCGGGAGGACGGGGAGAAGCTGGTGGAGGGCGGGCGGGACGAGGAAAGGGAGGAGGAGGAGGAAAGGGAGGAAGGGGAGGATCTGGGCCTCCGTGGGCCGCCGCGGGGTTGTCGTCGTCGGAGGCGGGGGGAGGGGAAGGAGGAGTACACCCTGCGAAATGCTTAAGAAATCATGGGTTAAGAAATTCATAGTCTCAGAACTTCAATAAAAACCAAACATTTCTATTAAAATCTTGGGATTTACATTGAAACGTTAAGAATAATCGAGACTCTGGCCGAAAACTTGGGTTTTCTTAAGCATCGCCTAAGGTGTAGGCGTTCGGAGGTCCTTGCAGATTTCTCAGATCGGCACGGGGCCCCCTGGCGGCGCAAGAGGCGCCTCACCCGGCACTCTTCGCGCGCCAGCGAGGGTGGCCCGGCGCCGACCCAAGAGATCTGCGCGGACCTTCGGAACTGTATGCGTATGCAGGTTTCTGTTCTTCCAGGTAGTGGGGAGGAGGAAGAGGAAGAGGGCGAGGGGAGAAGGAAAACGAGGAGAACGAGGAGGAGGAGGAGGAGGAGGAGGAGGAACGAGAAAGGAAAAGCAAGGACGAGGGAGGGAGGCAGCGAGTTCCTGGAGTCTTTCTTATGGGGGGTTAGAAGGCTGACGGCCGATCCAACGAGTCTCTAGGGCGGATGATCCAACATAGGGGGAGAAAGAGGAAGAGCCAGAGGAGAAGGAATCGGAAGAATAAGATGGGGATGCCGAGAAGGACGACGACAAGAAGGAACTCGAGGAGCGATGGGAGCGCATGCCCCCCCCCGAGAACAGGGAATGCTCCCCTTGCAAACCATCCGCCTTCGCCTCTGCCTGTCCCACTTCCTCATTCATGTTAGTTGTTCCTATCCATTAACTCCCTCCTCCTCCTCCTCCTCCTCCATGCTCGGCCTCCTCCTCCTCCTCCTCTACCACTTCACCCTCCAACTCATTGCTACGCATTCTCCTTGTGACGGATGGAGGCGTCGACATACGTCTAGGGAAAAGACGAGGCAGCAGCAGCAAGACAAGAGTTAAATTATTGCTTGACATTCCGCCTCTATCTTCTGCTCCGTTGTTCCTCCTCCCTGATGTCGTGTCTTCCTCTTCGACCTCATCCTCCGCATCCTCCTCCCCCCCTCCCCTCCGTAACCATTTTGGCTCAAGCTACGGCTGCCCTCCCCTGGCTGGGCGCGGGCGGAGTGTGCGCGCGCGATGGTGCGGGCTGGGCGCGCGAGGGGCCCGCTGGTGGGACACGGGCTGTGTGTCGCACACTGCGACACGGTGGCTGCCGCCGCGGACCTGATGCTGCGCCTGGCGGACGGCGGCGGCCCGGAGGGCGGCTGCGCCCTCGAGAGCTACGAGCAGGTCTTGCACGGCGCAGGGCGGCGCCTCGCCCTGGGCCGTAAGGCCACGTCGGAAGAGGTACGGCGTGCCCTCGCAAAGGAGCAGCCCGCCTTGGCGAAGCGGTGGGCGGCGCTGCGTGCGGGCAGACGCTGGGCAGCCCACCCGGACTCCAGTCTGATCGCAGAGGTCGGCGCGGCGCTCGTCACGCTCGCGGCGACCAATTCGATCCCAATCAGCTCCACTTCGTGCAATACGTGCGACCCGTCTCTATCATGGACGTCTTCGAAGACACCCAAGAAGATGGTGGCGGTGGACTCCGAGGACGAGGAGGAGACGATAAGGGTCGACAACGTGCTGAAGTTGGAGGAGGTCCTTGAAGAGAAGGGGAAGGAGGATAGCCAGAAGACAAAGAAGGTCAAGGAGGTTCCCCACGTGCTGGAGCAGCTCAACGTGTACGTGGACTCGATGTTGCAGCAGAAGGAGCTGGTGATCGCCAAGCTCCTGGGGGAGCTCGCCAATGCCATTTCGGCCTCGGCGAGGGTCTCGATCGAGATCGACACGCGGAAGGCCACGGCGACGCGGCAGCACGGCGAGGCCCAGAACTTCATGGAAGAGTTGGTCATCGGCGCCGAGGTGGTGGTCCCCAAGGGCGTGGCGCGCCAAGGCAGGATGCTCATCGAGGCGGCCGTGGCCGACCAGGAGATCGAGAAGAGGGTGAAGTCGCCGCAGGTCGCGGACGTCGCGGAGACGGATGACATTGGCGAGACGATCGCCAGGAAGCATGAGGTCGTGAATCGTGCGGCCCTCGACGTCGAGCAGGCCAGGATCGTCTTGGCGCAGGCGGAGGCCAGGCTCGACGGGGCAGCTGTGGGGAGGTGGTCGAGGTCCCTTCGGCCTCGAAGGAGGACGAGCGGACGGCACCTCGTGGGTGAAGCTCGGCCAACCCGCCCGAGACGTCGGCCGCGTCGTGAGTGCCGCGGGGGGCTTGTGCCCTCCTGCGGCACTCCTGGCTCGGCGCGGAGGCTCGTGCTCCTCCTGCGCCTGACGCGCTCGCGGAGGCTCGTGTTCCTCCTGCGCAGCGCCCGAGCGGCTGCGGAGGCTCGTGTTCCTCCGCGGCTGGGATTTAGGAGCCACATGCGTGGCAGCGCAGCAGAATCCAGCTGAATCCTCCTCCCCCTCCCCTCCCCCTCCAGTTCGGGGTGCTGAGCAGACCCGGTGGATTCGAAGGGTCTCTTGTTGAAGTCTGCCCGACTCTTGTTCTCTCCCTCTCTCTTTCGCTTTCTCTCTCGTTTTCTCTCTCTCTCTCTCTCTCTGTCTCTCTCTCTCTCTCTGCATCTCTCTCTCTCTCTCGCACTCTCTCTCCCGCACAAGTGTTTATCTCCCCCTCGATCTCCCACTTTCTCCTCTCTCGCTCTCTCTCGCTCTCTCTATATTTTTGCATGATTTCTATCTCTCTCTCTCTTTCCCTCTCTCCCCTCGCATGCACGCACAAACGCGCACACGCAGAGGAAACGCACAATATGCAACAGAGACAAAACGACCCAACGGGATTCAATAGGAAAACACCACAGCATGACTATGTTGAAACACACTCCACAGGGATTGCACGGGAAAGCGTCACCACAAACTCCTGCAGAGAGGGAAGCGCTACAACGGGATTATGTATTATGTGGGACGGCCTCAAAGCAGGAATCATGTGGAAAACGCTACAAGAGAAATTCGATAAATCACCCCCATCGTTGGAATGTTCTGGAAACCGCACCACAAGAAATCGGTTGGAAAACATCGCAACCAGAACACGTTTGATCAAATTGAAACACTAGCATTCTGGAACGCCTCATGACTGGAACTGTTTGGAAATGCAGCCCGAAGGGACTCCAATGGAAGGCCTCACAAACAAATACCTCGTCTTACTCCTCGTCATCATCATTGTGCTCCTGCTCCTCCTCGCGAGGAGTGAGAGGAGGGAGAGAGGGAGGAGGAAGTGGCGCGCGGAATGGCGTAAGCCCATGAACTACCTGTGCGCCGCCCACACCAGACTGCAATCTCCTTCGGCCGGGAAATATCAGAGTGTTCCCGCGCCCCCCGAAAAATAAAAGTGCAGGAAACCATCGGCATGATGTGTCTCCCGCGGTGTCTCTCCCTGCGCAAAGGCGCTCCGTAATCAATCGTGGCTACCACGACTGGACGGCTTGCCTGGACGCATGCTGTCGGTCTTACTGAAACGACAGCAACCTGAGATACATATGATAATTCGCAGCAACAAAAGCCTTGCAAACAACATCCGACGGCCTCTCACTCGGAGCCACCGTGCTGAGAATATCAGACCCTCAGCTCGGATAGTGCAGACCGTGCGCCTGCACGCACCACGGTGGCCCGCTCACGCCACAGCACGTTCGGCTATGAAGAACAGTAGCAACGACAAGAGGAAGAAGAAGGAGGAGGAAGAAAAGGAGGAGGAGGAGGAGGAGGAGGAGTGATCGGGGAGGAGGTCGAGTGAGAGGAAGGAGGCGGAGGAGGCGGATGGCGCTGGAACATCATATTGGCCTGGCGAAGGACTCAGCCATATGAAATTGTGAATAATGGAGTTGTGAACATCGTCCTCGGTGAACTCCCTGTGTGGCCACGGGACGTGTGAAATCTGTGCCGTAATGGGTTCGGGGCCCGCGTCCGAGGACCGTCAGTAGCGGCTTGTGTCGAGTTCCCTATGGGGTCACGAAACGTGCGAGAGTTGTGCTGGAATGGGTGAGGGGGGCGCGTGCGAGAACCGACGTTGGGGCCTTCGTTGGAACTCCCCATACGGCCACGAAACGTGTGAGGAGTCTGCCGGAGTGGGCGCGGGCGGAGGAAGCACTCGCAAACCGCCACTGGGGCATTTAGTGGAGCCATCAATGAGGCTACGAAGCGTCTGAGGGGTCCGCCGAAATGGGCGCGGGGGACGCATGCGAGAACCGCCGCCGGGGTCTTCGGTGGAATTCCTCATGGGCCACGAACGGTGTGAT